TTTTACAACAGTTGCAAAGCTGCTTTCTCTGCTGAACGCAGCCATTGAGTGCATTCAGTCAGAGCAATCCAGAAGCACAACCGCTCATTGAGCGCTCAATGAGCTCTTGTACCTGTTTGGTCCATATTTTTAGCTCTAATGGAATATGCCAATCAGATACAGTCGCTCACTGAGCGCTCAGTGAGCGCTTGCATCCTATTGGTATATTCCGTAAGAACTGAAAATATAGACCAAACAGATACAAGAGCTCACTGAGCGTTCAGTGAGCGATCGTGGTACTGAATGCACCCATTTTGTTTGCTTCAAACAAAATGACAAATGCGATTGGTCAATTCCGATGGACTAACTGGCCAGTTAAGTTAACTGAGCTTGGTGACAGTGACCCTAAGGGCTACCGCACACAAAATTCCATAATAGTGATCGTAAGATGTAAACTTAAGCCGATGAGCCAATCAAGATATTGCTTTAAGTCTACGTAATCTAACGGAAATGGAAATAACAGTAAACTTAGCCATAACCTCGCAATAAGGCGAATTTCAACCGATTGAAACTCGCCTTATGGATAAGTTTACTGCTATTTCTATTTCCGTCAGATTACGTAAATCTAAAGCAGTATCCTGATTGGCTTATCGGCTTAAGTTCACGTCTTAAGGTTACTGTTATCGAAATTTTGTCTGCCGCAGCCCCTGGCACACAAAAAACTTAAGGCATTAAGACGTAAGCAGTAAGGAAATCAACATGTTGGATTCGCTACTGCTTATGTTACGGCCTTATGGACTCTACTGTGATTGGTCAATTCGCTTACTGCTTACATTTTACTGCTTAAGTTTTTTTGTGTGTCATGACCCTAAATCGACGAATCAATTCTTAAGTCCGGATCTACAATAGATGTTTTAAGACTTAAGCCGTAAGAAACTGACCAATTACAATCGAATCCGAGGAGAATAATCGATTGTGATTCATCCATTTCTTATGACTTAAGGCTTAAAACCCTATTGTAGATCCGAGGTAAAGGCCATCACACGTACAAAAATTTTAGTGGGAATCATAAGGCCGTAAGCAAATCGGCCAATCATAGTCGAGCGTTTTTAAACGCGAGATCGTAATTTTGATTGTGATTGGTCGATTTACTTGCAACCTTACGATTACGACTAAAATTTTTGTACGTGTGATGGCCTTTAGACGTAATCAGTAAGCAAATTGGCCAATCACGGTAGAGACCGTAAGGCCAGTAGCGAATCCAATGTTACGATTTCCTTACTGCTTACGTCTCATATGGGGTCTAGAATAGAAGTCGTAGCAGTCGTAGGGTCTTAAGTCGTAGAAAATTGACCAATCACAGTCGAATATGAGAAGAATAATTGGCTGCGTTCAGCAGAACGTTTGTTTTGCAACTGTTGGAAGTTTCCTTCGCGCTAATTGGATCATACTTTTAGATCTAGAAGAATGGTCCTATCTCAGCAGACAATCATAAAACGGTTGCAAAACTGTTGAGTCTGCTGAACGCAGCCATTAACTGTGATTGGTCAATTTTCTACGACCGCTACGACTTCTATTGTAGACCCCGCATTACGGCCTTACGTTTTTTAAAGTGCCATGGGCTTGATAGCCTGCAGGTTTCTCTCTGCTAATAGCGCTGATGACGTGCACAGTGTGCACTGTGGACTGCGCACATGTGCAGGGCTGTCACTGACATATAAGGAGCCTTTGCCCGAAAATTCATTTTTACGTAAAAATGAAAAGAGATACAACCTCCAATGATTTTGACAAATATTATCCAGGTCATGATCCTGAACAACATTTTAGTCGGTTGGACACCTTGGGTAATGCTCTCTCTAATTTTTGTTGGTAATGTGTATATATATATATGTATATATATAGTAAATCTTTATTAAAACAAATATACATACAATTCTATTAATTAAAATATGTACGTTCGAGACATCGTTGACGAAATATCTCATGTAGGCAATTTATATAATTTAAACATCTATTAAATTAAGAAATAATCTCATAACTATTGATCTGTGAGTTGCAACAACAATTACAATAAACTGATCCCGAATTAAGTTATTCATTTTTTGTTTTTAATTAATACTCCTGTTTGTTGTAAAGATATAGAATGAAAATTAATCAGAATCAATATTAAAAGAATCCTAAAATCGTCTGTATTACCAACTAAATCATATAATTTTTGTATAACAATGATTTTTTTCCTCTTCAAATTCGAAAATTCTTTTCTAGGATTAAAGTATATGCATTAATATGTGCCTGTGAAACTTATGCCGAGAACAACAAAGTTTCAAAATTGAGATCTTTACCATTTCTTAGTCCAATATGGCCCTACAGAGCTGTCACATCGTGACAACATTTGCTTCATATAAAAACTGTGCAATCTTGCGAAATATAGTTCATAGACTTACACTACGACTAATCGTCTTTAAGATTCCCTTAACTGTTGTTGGTGCAACCGAACTATAATATATTGTCTATATTATAGAAATACTTTATGTACAAAATTACAATGCCGATTCTGCATTGTTAAAGGACAAGACCTTGGTAAGAAAGTCCATCGGAATCTGGCGATTCCATCCTATTTCTTAAATGTTCTAACGTATTTGCTAAATGTTTCTGTATTTGATCGGTTTCTTCGCTCGCTTCCAGATTGGGAAGTTCCTCTCTAATTTTAGCAATCACTTGATTCAATATTTGCACAGTTACCTAAAAAAAATTTAATTTAAGAATAAGTTAAAATTATAATAAATTATTCTATGTTTGTAGATATCTTACAGCTGTGTTTCCTTTTTCGTAGAAGTAAATGTAATGATTCAGCAGCTCCACATACAGTTGTACTTGCACAGATGTGTCCATACACTGACTTGCTATCCTAATACCTTTTTTTAAGCAGTCCAACACTTTACCGCCTTCTTGCATCTATGTGAAAATTATATTATATTTCTCATATAATGTACTTTATTTCTATGTTTATTTCAATAGATCAGAGTTACATTTGTATGTACCTCTTTTCCGCCCGTAGCCAAAGATTTTCCAGACCAAAATATATGTGAACAAGTAGCGACTCCTCTACACTGATCAGGCTTTCTCAATAATTTGCTAGCATATAAAGCGCACTGATTGCGTACAGGCTCTGCATTTTCTTCGCCAAAACAACTCATTTGCTCGAATGTAGCAATGATCAAGGTAATCGCTGCGAGCTGAGCCTTCGAGTCACTTATTTCATCTTCATATATCGAAAACGCTTGGCTCATAAACTCATAAGCAACCATTTCAAAATTATCAAAACGAATTTCACCGATCGCTATTGCGCCTTGCAGAAATAGTCTTAAGGGTAGTTCGGCTAATTCGGCCTTCATCAATGCTGTGATAGTTGTGTGGCAGAACTGAAAAATTTTTTGACATTTTTTTTGCCACATGTCATCCTAAAAAAAAAGGGTACATCAATTTATATCATTTTTCGACATTCTTATTTCACTAATGTCCATTTTTACTAATGTAGATTTTTAATTTTGATTTAAATTACTGTTTATCTTTTTTTTTAATTCTCAGATTAGAATTAAAAAAAAAGATAAAGAATAAATTAAACTGAGATCAAAATTAATCTTTGTTGATAGAAACATATATAAAGGGCATTCTACAATTCATCGCAATGCTCCTCGACAGCCAATCAGAAGCATCAATAATTACTATTGACGTTTCTGATTGGTTATCACAAAGCATTACTATTAGAGATGAGATTGCGACGCATCGTAGAATGCTTTTAAGAGATATAAACTACAAACCTGATCTTTCAGTGCTTTGTATGTAAATGCTAATTGATAACTTTGGAAAACAATGGGAGGTAGAGTGAATTTTATTCTTTTGTTACCGCCAGCACTGAAATGTTTCCTTGCAGCGCTTAGTATCATATATTGCTGATCTGGTGTTTCCGATCTAAAATGATGTATTAATCTTCCGAGCAATCCCTGTTCTTCGGCAAAATCTTCAGGGTCTTCTTCTATATTAGGTTGATCTGATTGATCTTGGACCAAGGAAGATACCATGAAGAGCACTGCGTCTACTTGCTCTTGCATTGGAATCAATGTTTCATTCTCCAAAATATTCGTTATTATATATATAGCTAGTGATTTTCTGCCCTCATAATCGAAATAATCCAAAAGAGGTGCATAGTGTTCAAGCTTAAGCACTGTTAATATATTTTTATAATTGTCTACGGGAATTTTCATTAATCTAACTAGTTCTCTTGAAACAGCACTATTGTACTCCAATCTAAAAAAGAAAAATAAAAATTATAAATATATGATAGACGCACACACGCATACATACATTTATATCATACAAAATGCTATTTAACATGCATAACAAATTACACTCACTTATCGACATTTTGTTTCTGAAATATTTGAACTGTTGTAAACAAAACTTTATCTACGTAATCCACACGATCAGGATAGCATTTATGTGCTAAGTTTATAAGAGCCACTTGGAGGGACACAATATCTTCAGGAGGCATATCTTGTCTTGTCTACAAAATTTTTTTACATAATATATATAATGTGAATGTTTTAATTAAATTATAATGTAATGTTTTGTGACTATTCTCAGACTTAAACTAAATAGTAAGGAATCTTCTGGTTTTCAAATCATGATATATCAAATATTGTACAATATCTAATAATCATTGAATAGTCATTCTAACATAATCAACAATGAAATCTATTCCATTTAATCAATACCTGTATGATAGTTGCAATTTGATCACTAAATACATCAAACAGTTTGACATCTTGTGGAATTCCTGGTACTTGATTTGGACTTCCCGGTCCTCCTACACCATCCGATCGTTGACTAAAGGCTGCAAGTCGATCAATCAACGATATAATTATGTTTTTAACATTTACTCCATTTTGTAATTCTGCACACGACTTCAGAAATGCATTTAACGTTTGTAAATGGAATTCATCAGGAAAGACCTAGATACAAATATGTAAAAGACATTAACTTTTTGCATCATTGTTATTTTTAAAATAAAATATTTACAACACGTATAAAGATTTACTTGAATTATACACTCCATAAGATATTCCTGTGCTATTGCATCTCTACAACTTACGACTTGCTCCAAGATTCCCGGCAATACAAGCTGAAAATAAATTTATAATAAAAAATATTTCATAGTTAAAAAATAAATAAATTATAGTTAAAAATAAAGAGAGGAAAATGTACCTTTTTGTATTTATCTAATGTTACAGATTCCAATTGACTAAGTCGTACAAGATTTGTTCCGACTAAAAATCTTTCCCTCTCTCTTCTTTCTCTATCCCTACTATGACCTTGATGTTGCATACGTACCCACAATTTATTCATTTCTGCAAAATTCATCAGAACGAAATCTATGCTGTCACGAACCTAAAAATAAAATTGCAAAAGTAAGCAGTGTGCACGAGGAAAAAATTTGTTTACAAAATACATACAGTTCCATCTTCATCATCACCCTCGGTAACATCTGGCAAGATATTCCTTGTGCATTGTAACAAATAATTCCTTAAGAATAGACCACGCAGTGGATGTTGCACGCCTCTACACATTTCTACAAGGTCTCTCAGAAGATCTCTTTTCAAGCCAGGCGTTGTCTTGATATAGACCAGGCCAACAGTGATAAGTAAATACCTAGAATATTAATCAGAACATTATTTTTTTCAGTAAGAAAACAATGCAATCACAAAGCAAATACATACAGTCTAGGTACAATATTGCCAACATATTGTACCAATTCATAGAGATCTGTAACTTTTCTTCCTTTTTGAAATTCATCCAACAAATAAAGTTCCAAGTGCCGTAATTCATCTGTGATTGCCATATCTAATTATAATTGTTATAAGGAATATTTATACGATTAAATGTCAAAATTAACTACTTATACTGAATATCATAGTTCAAGCTCTATTATAAAATAATTATTAAGGATACACAATTCATAGTAGCTTTTTGGACTTAGAAGAGAAGTCCTGAGTTCTCCCAACATGGTAGAGGCATGTTTTAGCGCATCCATTAATTTTGATTTGTCTAGACAGTGTTTCATCTGAAAAGCTTGGACTTTTACCACTCCAATTGCATCTTCTAGCAATTTCTCTTGTTCTTCCATCCCTGTTATAGCAGGTGTCATTGGCTGCGAAAAAAACAAAGATACCTACCAGGAACACCAGGTAGTACCATGCTAGGTAAGCCATCCAACTCAAGCATGCACTACGGATGCAATGAAAATATATTGTCGAAACACAGAGAATCAATCTATTCATAAAATTAAGCACTGACAGCTAAAAACGACTCTTCAAACATAATGCCACATGATACATATATTTGTCTGCAACTAATTCCAGCACAGAAATCTGTTTATTAAATCATTAAAACTTGATGATTTCTTAAGAAACAATTGTTTGGTAAATGTTAAGAAGACCCCGGTCCACTCAGATTTTGATAAAAAATACACTCATTCAACGCGTTTTTGCACGAAATAAACAAATCTGGCAAAAAAAAGTGTTGCTTTGCCCTGCGAAATGAGATATTAAGCGTTAAAGTTGACGACTTGAGGTTAGAATATCTGTCACAGGGCTACACTGCGAAATTATAAACCATGTAGACAATGGGGTGTGTGGATAGTAACGCTTGGGTTCGTGGGGCGGCGGCTGTCAACATGGGTTAGAACTCAGATAATTTGTTTTGAAGCAGTGAATTTGTATTTTAGAACAGATTTCCTAACCTGCATAATCGTTAACTTTAACTTAAAATATCTCGGTTCGCGGGGCAAAACGACACTTTTTTCTTGTAGATTCTTCATTTTCATAAGAAAACGCATCGATTGAGTATATTTTTATCAAAATTTGAGTGAACCGGGGTTTTCTTAACATTTACCAATTGTCTTAATCAGGACAAACACTACAAATCATAATGAGTTACAGGCTACGCAGTAAGATTAAAGTATAATAATAAGACACACATATTTCTCTATGACTTATGTATAAGCGTTGATTGATTCGTATAGAAGTAAAAAAAATTAAGCATTCATGTCTATATTATTGAAAGTCTCGATGAAATATTCTTTACATATTCCCGACAAATATAACCTATCAATGCTAGGCTTATTGTTCGCGAGATGATTAGCACCACATGGATCGAATTTGAAGGAGACTACTTGTCCTTGCAAGCAAAATTGTGAAACATGCTTCTCAAAATTCTACGATTCTTACCATTTTCTTGTGAAAAGAAATATACAATTATTCGTCGAACATACGCCTCGGGGGCTCTGTTTGACAAGACATCAGATATGCTCGACTCCGTCAGAGTTCTATGGAGCACTGGAGCACAAGAGCACTACGGATAATGGAGTATGGACTATGGAGGTCTGAACTCTGAAGTCTGTCTGAAGTGTCTGAACACTTATGGCCCATTTACAATACACGTAGTAAAGCCTGCCGCACACGATGCTTGTTTTCCTGCTGGATTCCTAGCTAGATTAGAATCTTACCATCGTATTGGCCGCGATACTGATAGTGTCAGCATCGTAGCCAATACGGTGGCAAGAATTTATTCTAGCTAGCAATCCAGCAAGAAAACAAGCATCGTGTGCCGCCGGCTTTACGCATGAAGCTCATGATGTATTATTTATCCTTGTTGTTTATCAATTAATAAATAAGGATATAACGATACATCATTCGCTTCATGCGTAACTCGGAACGCACCCATAGAATAATCACACTAGGTGCGTTCGGAGAGACGCTATTAGCGCTTGTGTTATTCTATCCTTGTTTTACATCTAATAAACAACGAAGATAGAATGATAGAAGCTAATAGCGTCTTCCCGAACGCATCTACCGGCTCATTGATTGTTTTTTTTTATCGTTGCCATTTTACTTATTTTACACATTTACATATACACAAGAACAATAAATAAATAAATTTCAATCACAACCTCATATAAACGATTGAAAATAAATTGGAATACAAGATGAAATTCGCCGGACACATTCTAAAATATGTGACAAACTACAGAAAGTTTATAAAATAAATTCAATGAGCACACTTATGTAATCATGTTAAAAGAAATAACTTAGATTTATATATATATATATATATATATGTTGTGAATTTTATATTTATATTTTTAATGTTATATACTGAGGATGGCCTAATCTAAGGCCGAAACGTTTATATTTTTATTAATTGTGATTCTTTATGTATTTATTTTAAGACGAGTTTCGCTGAAAAACAAGCGTTTGTGGTAGATGCCTTCAATTTCTCCGTTTTTTTATATACGCAAGAACTTAAATTTGAATGCAAATAAAAGTAAAAAAAATTTAATAAATATTGGGTTAAAAATATCAAAACAAGAAACAAATGCAAAATGTGATAATTTTTATAAACTGTTCTGCTTATTAACGCTTTTTAGGCTTTCACGGATATTACCGTATCACAACTATTCTGCTTATTGGGTAATTAAAAAAAAATTGCAAAAATTGCAAAATAGTAGAGGACTTTTCGATTCAGTTTTTCATAAACAGTACATATATGCATGCCGGCTCCTCCAACTGGATCACCCTATACAAAATATAAAATGGAGTAAAGGGAAAAAAAGCAGTATTATAATAAATATATATATATATAATCAGACTTTTGTTAAGTACGAATATATTTATTGTAACCAAATGTACACAGGGCTACGTCTGATTATCCAAAGAGTGTGGATTTGTAGGAGTCGGCTCCTAGTGAATAAATAACCTTTCTGTGAATCAATGCCAACAATAGCGGGGCAATTGTGTAAAGTGTAAAATATTATTTAACCTTCAGCGATTTCATATATATATCCAATTCATCTTCAGATTCGTTTTGATCATTGCACTCATTACATGGAAGAACAGTTTCAGGAGCTTCCGAGTCAAAATACTTTTCTTCTTCGTCTTGATTTCTCAAATCAACGTTATCATAAGCTTCATTGTCATCTACAGTACTGAAACAAATGATAAAAATACATATTAATGCAACTGTTATATTTAAATATTTAAAAAATGTTGTATTCATTTTTAGTTATTAAAAATTATAAAATAACGAATGGGACAAATATTTTCAATTTTACTTATTTCAAAAATTATTCTATGCAAGATAAATATTATAATGCGAGATTAGATCGATAACAATAAATCTAATTAAGTAAGAAACCTATTTTCAGTCAAAGCAGTGCTTAAATATTTCGGTGCGAATTTATATACATATCCAATTCTGCAAATCACACAAAGCAATCTTTTATATCTATAAACATTATACTTTTATAAAACATAACATTAAACTTTATCCTTTATATTTGTGTGTGTGTGTGTGTGTGTGTGTGTGCGTGCGTGCGTGTGCGTGTGCGTGTGTGTGTGTGTGTGTGTGTGTTACTCTGTATTTATAATTAAGAAAATTTATTATAAAAACAATGTTAATATAATATGATGAATTAATAAAGTTTTTATATTAAAATATTTTGAGAAACATCCATAACTATTTTATAGATAACCTTTTATATTTATTGATTAGCACAACATATACCTATAATCAAAGTCTGTATCTTTACCATCCAGGAAACTCTGATACATGTTTGTAACAAATTCTTGTCTAAGTAACTTTATTTCTTGGCTTGATATTTTATGTATTTTATTGCTTTGTAATTTCTGGTCCTTTTTTTTTACTTCATTTAATTCTTCACCCCAGTGCTGATAATTCTGTTTCTCAAGATTTGTCTTGGATGCAATGCTGTTTCTGATATTATCATCATCATTATCATCATCATTATCATCACCATTATCATCATCTTCATCTGAATCGTTCTCCTCTTGTACTTCGTCCTCTTCCTTTTGTTGAGATTTTAAACGATTTTCTAATTTATTTCTTTCGATGGTTTCCATAAGTATATCCACATAATTTACACTCTTTGTGTCAATAGTGTCTCTAGCTTTCTTTTCCTCATCTGTCAAGTACTGCCCTACTAAGTGTTCATACAATAGCGGATTTCTCTTCATCATTTCACATTCGCTAAAGTAGTCTCCTTTTTCTATTAATGTCTTCAGAGCTTCATATCTTCTGTTTTTTATGTCGATATGACGTGTAGAGTTATTAAAATATCTCTGTAACCTGTTTACATGATAGATTGTCTCATAATCCTGACTTTTGTTGAAATACTCCAAGTGTTCCATCTTCATATATTGTCCAAATTTAGACAGAAATAAACAGTGACTCTTCTCTAACAACTTCCTAGCTATAGCAAGCTTTTCCTCAAACGTTAACTCGGGTTCTTCTTTTTGCTGGCTCTTGAAAGTTGCTTTGCTGTTAGCCACATGTTCCAAAAGCTCCTTCTTTAGGGCATTTTTTTCCAGATCTAACATAGAACAGTCCATGCTTTGTTCATTGTTGCTATTCTTATTCTCATCCAGCAGAGGATCTCCTTTAGCCCCTAAAGTCATGTTTTTCTGCAGAGTGGTTGGTTCTTCAATTTTGTTCAACAGAAAGTTACATCAAATGTGAAAAATGGAACTAATTGCGATTTGCGTACACTGATGAATCTCGGTGCTTTGTATTGTTTGTGCAGTTAGTACTTAGTACGATTAAGACTAACCTAGAGCGCACACGAAGACTATATCTCTCTTCGCCTCTCGCATCTATCTCTTACGGAATTACGTTTGTTGCGTATTATTATTGTTACCAGTGATAAACGAGATAAATATGCGAGTCTCAGTATGTGTGATTAGTTTTATCTAAAATATTCCGTAAAAATTCCTTGAGACTTCGTCATCTGTCTGCGCTATGCGTCATTACCGAGGGAAACATAACCTGCGAGTGGTCATCGTGAGAACGCAGCGACAAAATGTAATACAAGCGAGAAGGAAACGATAAATACGGGCTTATTGATGTTACATGCTTCAATATTTATAGAAATTCCTCGATACCGACAGGTATACGTTTTCTGAACCTGTTATGCTAATTTATTGTTTACTCATGTTGCAATTAAGTCAATCTCTTATCTGTTCCTACAATTCATTATCAATCAAGTCAATAGTATCGTTTTACAGTTTCGCACATAAGGAGTTTAATATACTATAAATTAATATATATTAATTAATGAAATATTGCGTTATTCAATGGATTGAAGAGCATAAAAATTTCTTTAAACAAAATAACATATATTTTATTATTTATATATTTTATTTCTATAATTTTTGCTCTGTTTGATATATTTTCAATATATCTTTTAATATATTTTGGCGAAATTTTTCTTTGTATTTTAACAAATATGCGATAGCGATACAGTAGTATTACATGGTACAATAGTATGAAATGTTTACATATCATTTATACGCTTTGATATAATTTATGTTGCTTAACAATATTTGTTAACCTATTAAAGATAAAGTTTTCTTTATTATATGTGTTGTATTATAATTATAATATTACAGTATGGCAGATAACAGGTTGGATGATGTAGAGAGATGGAAGTGGAATTGGACTGAGTTATGTGGATGTCATGGAGACATTAATCCAGTGAATCCTGAAACGGATGACTTGAGTATATGTTTCCAACAGCTTTGTCTTCAGGTAAAGTATGATAGAATTTAATCTCACATTATATATGAAAAGCAACAAATTAACACCAATCATTTATGAAATTTATTTCTTAATTTCCAGATACCAGTATTAGCTCTCTTAGCTATAATTTCTGCATACCACTGTGGAAAAAGAACATCTTTATCTCGACAACAGCATGTTTGTCATGTTATAAACCTAAGGATCTTAATTACAATATGTCTTGTGATATTGCCTATTATAAGGGCATACATTATTCTAACTAATACTACCATATCTTTGGAACTTAATCAAGTGCAAGACTACAGCACGCCAGTTCCAAAAGTATTAAACATTTCCATTCACAAGAACATAAATTCGTCATTAGAGAATGAAACAGATATCATAAGCAAGATACGTGATGGATTAAATCATACTCTTAGATTTGTGGAATCAATTTTTTCATCAGAAATCGATGTTAAGGATACTACTACACCCCCTGCTATATTATATACTAATAATTATGAGTTGAATATTACAAATAAATTTACTTCTGCTAAACCAGTAGATTATCTTGTAGCAGGAACTGAAGGTTTGGCATGGGTTGTACATCTATGTTTTATTTTAAGCTTGAAACGTGGACGGAATCTTAATCCACGTGGACCAGTATTAATACGAGCATTAATATGTCTTTTGATTGTTGTTTCTGTGCTATTATTACGAAGCCACATCAATAATAAGCCTAAAGATGATGTATTGCCAAATTTATCATTGGGATTCAGTATCACCACAGTTATTCTTTTGATATTGTATGTTATAACATTGATACCTGGTCCTCCTAGGCCGGAACGGATAAGAGCATCATTGCAGCGAGATGTTATAGTAAGTTATCACATAATTATCTAGTGTTTTCGTCAATCTGCATTTCTGATTATCCGGAAAATGCTCAAGTTGCAAAACTTATTTAATTGCCTATGATATCTAAAATTGTTGCATTAGTAAACATGCAGAGATATCACAGACCAATGATTGAATGTGTTTGTAGATAGGAGAACGCACTCCACTACTAAGTAGTCCCACTTCTTCATACGTACAATTTCCAGAGGAACAAGATCCGAGCTACCTTGGCATAGCTATGGAAGATACAACCATTATTTCTAAACTTCTATTTCATTGGGTAACACCGTTAATGGAAAAAGGCGTGAAGGGGCTAATAAGGCATTCTGATGATTTGTTTGATTTACCCGATCAGATCGGTACCAATACAATCAGTCATAAAATTGACCAATGGTTACATAACATGGTAAACAAGAAGGCATAACATTTCGCAGTTTATTTATTATATAACTTTTGAAATATTTTCATATCGTGTTTTATAAATTAATTTCATTTCATAATAATCTTGATAATCTTGTGAAATGTTACAGCCAAAAATTATCAATAACAGAATCGAAAATAACTTAGAAGTACCACTTCATTCGAATATAAAAATAGTTACAAAGAAAGTGACACTGTTCTATCTGCTGCACCAATGCTTTGGCTGGGAATTTTATGCAGTTGGAATACTGAAGTTTGTCGCAGATTGCAGCTCTTTTATGGGACCAATATTATTAAATAAATTAATAGGTTTCATTGAAGATAAGAATGAGCCAATCTCCCACGGATATCTATATGCGTCTCTTATAATACTGAGTGCTATAATTGGTACAAAATTAAACTTTTTGAAATTTCTTAAATATTTACCGTGTGAATTACAATAATGATGTTTTAGGTGCCTTTTGTAATACTCACTTTACATTTTGGATGTCTGTTGTGGGCTTGAAGTTTCGTTCTGCAATTATTACTTTAATCTATCGAAAAACATTGTATTCTTCTAATACCGATTTAAATCACAATTTTAATTTTGGTGAAATCATTAATTTTATGAGCACCGATAGCGACAGATTGGTCAATAGCTGTCCTAGTTTTCATACATTTTGGAGTATACCATTACAGGTAATTATACGACGGTAATCTGGATCCGTTTTCTTTTTTTAGTGCATTAAAAAAGAATATATTGTTCTATATTGTGAGTGAACTTTTTTTATTGCCATTTTTTAAAAAGAAACTAAAAATATGTTTTTTATTTTCAGTTATTCGTGACATTGTATCTTCTGCATAAGCAAATCGGAGCTTCGTTTTTAGCCGGTGTTGCATTTTCAATAATACTTATACCAATTAATAAAATAATAGCAAATAAAATTGGTAAAATTAGTACTAAACTCATGGAATATAAAGATCAAAGAGTGAGGTTGATGGGAGAGATACTGCGTGGGATAACTACAATTAAAGTTAATGTATGGGAGGAACACTTTTTACGAAATATCTTCAGTTAGTATGCTTTTACATAAATAATTTCTTGGTTTTTTTTTGGTGTCTGCATCTAAACATTTCTTTTTTTATGTAGATATAAGAGAAAATGAAGTGAAATATTTACGAGGTAGAAAATATTTGGATGCACTTTGTGTTTATTTTTGGGCAACTACACCTGTCATTATCGCAATATTAACGTTTGCAACGTATGTATTGCTCGGAAATGAGTTAGATGCCAAAACAGTTTTTACTAGTATGGCATTATTGAACATGTTAATAGGACCTTTAAATGCGTTTCCATGGGTTCTAAATGGTCTTACAGAGGCATGGGTATCTCTTAAGAGAATTCAAAGAATGCTGGACGTATGTATGTTAAGACTATAATATAGCATAAAATAACGCACTATTACATTTTGAGATACTTAGTTCCTACTTTATTATTTCAGCTATCAGATATGGATGCATCATTGTATTATACAGATATTACTCCTGACGTTGATTTATTGCTGCAAAATGTAACATTTACTGTGAATCGTTCAAGAAATAACGATATTAATACTAATACAAGTCCAAAGATTGCAACTCCATCTTCAAGCACCGACATTAAAAAGAGCGTTTCGTTCGAAGACGATGATATTTTCACTTTATATAATATTAATTTATCTATACAAAAGGTAAGAATACATTTTATTCAAACTCCAAAATATACATATATATATATTTTTTTTTATATTCACATATTTTATATAGGGACAATTGATTGGCATTATGGGCAAGATTGGAAGTGGAAAAACTTTACTCTTAGATGGTATTTTGGCTGAAATTACAAAAACCAGTGGGATAATAGCGGTTAATGATGATCACAAAGGTTTTGGATATGTAAAACAAAATCCTTGGCTACAACGTGGTACAATCCGAGATAATATTCTATTTGGAAAACCATATGATCATAACAAATACAAGTAAGTATTGATTGTTGCTTAAAATTAATGCCGACGATAAATTTGTTTACGTCACGTACATTATAACTTATATTTTATTTACAATTACAACAGGAACATTTTAAATGCCTGCGCGCTCGCATCCGATTTGAATTTACTGCCTAACAAAGATTTCACAGCTGTTGGCGAAGCCGGGAACACTTTAAGCGGCGGCCAAAAGACAAGAATTTCCCTGGCTCGCGCTGTATATGCGGATAAAGATATTTATTTGCTAGACGATATATTAGCGACATTGGATGTCAGAATTGCCAGACATGTTTTCCAGCATGTAATTGTGGGTTTGTTACGAAATAAAACCAGAATATTGTGCACGCATCAGACTCAATACTTGGTTCATGCAGATTTAGTTATCGAAATGTCAAAAGGAAAAATTATTAATCAAGGAAAACCGAGTGACGTATTGCCCGATTTGGAAGACTATCTTTTGTTGTCAGATTCCATCGAATCCGACATGGGTATAACTTCTATAAAGGCACAACCAAATGAATTTAATCAATTGGAAAAAGGCGAGATAGATCCATTACTTGACAAAGAAGCCACCGAAAAAGGGACAGTACATTT